GAGTACTTACCTTGTCAATGAAAAACAGTGATTTACTGATGCAGCAACAGCATGAATTCCCAAAGTAACAACACAAAAAAGGAGATACTGTATATAAAACCCTAGATCCAGACCTGGTGATGCACGCCTGTAATGCCAGCAGTTGGGAAGAGATAGGAAGGTCAGGAGTTCAAGGTCATTGTTGGCTCTATAGTAAGTTTGCTTAGGCCAGCCTGGGCTACATGAGACTGTACAAAAAATAAATAAATAAATAAACTCAAACCCTAGGAAACATAAATTGATGCATAGTGAGGTCAGAGTTACAACTTTGGTAGGGGACAGAGACCAGGAAAGGAGCAGAATCCCAAAAGGGCTCAAAGAACATGGAAAGCACTTAAGATGAAAGATGGGCTCATTATTTTTATTGTGATGACAGCCTCATAACTGTGCATATAGGTCACAAATTACATTGTACACATTAAGATGTATAGTTGATTGTATGCCAATAAATTTAATGGAAAAGGAGCCATTAGAAAAGAATTGAGACTCATATTAACATTGAGATACATATCCATGTCACTATGTATCCCAAGCCATATCAGTCTGAAGATGTATATCTTCTAAACTTAGTATTTTATTTTTAATTCATCTGAAGATTTTTGTGGAATATGCCTCCTTTTTACACAGTCTGTTAAGCAAGACATGCCCCTACCCTGAGGGGTTTGTGTATATGTAGTAAAAGATGGGACATCCTCAGAGCACTCATTTCTTGGCCTCAGACCAAATTCTCCCTGGGGAATAGGCAGGATGGGGTAGTGGAGACAGAGTCAGGAATGGAGCTGAGGATGGGTGGGGTTTCACAAGCAAGTCAGAATTATCCAGAGTCCTTGGCATTATGAAGAACCCTCAATCAAAGCTAGCCTTTTGTTTGTGTGTATCCATCCTGAGTTGACACACAAGTGTGCTCTTGGATATGTCTGGCTCTGTTTACTTAGGCAGACAAGAGTCCACTAGAGATGAGGGGGCTGTTCTTACAGTCTCAAGTTCATCTACCCATATGAGTTCACTCAACAGTTAGCCTACTGTCCCATCCCTAAGGCTGTGTGCCAGCCTGGGTGTCTCATGTCCAGGAGGATCTTGGGTGAGAATTTATCGTCTCCTGCCAAGAGACCCGCCCTCAAGCAGGTCAGGTACTTGAGAGGAGGCATGGAGTCAGCACAACAGCATATGCACACAGGAGACTTTTTTGAGGGCCAACACTTAATTCTTCATTTTATTTTTCTCATTCTGCTGTTCCTACTCTGTTCTTTCTCTGTTCTGTTCTTCTACTCTTTGTTTTCCTTCTTCTTCCCAGTTGTTCTTCTATCTCATGCCTGTTCTCCATCTCCCCTGATGTCCTCCTCCTCCATCTCCCCTGATGTCCTCCTCCTCCATCCTCCCTGATGTCCTCCTCCTCCATCTTCCCTGATGTCCTCCTCCTTCATCTTCCCTGATGTCCTCCTCCTCCATCTTCCCTGATGTTCTCCTCCCCCATCTTCCCTGATGTCCTCCTCCTCCATCTTCCCTGATGTCCTCCTCCTCCATCTCCCCTGATGTTCTCCTCCATCTTCCCTGATGTTCTCCTCCTCCATCTTCCCTGATGTCCTCCTCCTCCATCTTCCCTGATGTCCTCCTCCTCCATCTTCCCTGATGTTCTCCTCCTTCATCTTCCCTGATCTCATGCCTGTTCTCCATCTCCCCTGATGTCCTCCTCCTCCATCTCCCCTGATGTCCTCCTCCTCCATCCTCCCTGATGTCCTCCTCCTCCATCTTCCCTGATGTCCTCCTCCTTCATCTTCCCTGATGTCCTCCTCCTCCATCTTCCCTGATGTCCTCCTCCTCCATCTTCCCTGATGTCCTCCTCCTCCACCTTCCCTGATGTCCTCCTCCTCCATCTTCCCTGATGTCCTCCTCCTCCATCTTCCCTGATGTTCTCCTCCATCTTCCCTGATGTCCTCCTCCTCCATCTTCCCTGATGTCCTCCTCCTCCATCTTCCCTGATGTCCTCCTCCTCCATCCTCCCTGATGTCCTCCTCCTCCATCTTCCCTGATGTCCTCCTCCTCCATCTTCCCTGATGTCCTCCTCCTCCATCCTCCCTGATGTCCTCCTCCTCCATCTTCCCTGATGTCCTCCTCCTCCATCTTCCCTGATGTCCTCCTCCTCCATCTTCCCTGATGTCCTCCTCCTCCATCTTCCCTGATGTCCTCCTCCTCCATCTCCCCTGATGTCCTCCTCCTCCATCTCCCCTGATGTTCTCCTCCATCTTCCCTGATGTTCTCCCCCTCCATCTTCCCTGATGTCCTCCTCCTCCATCCTCCCTGATGTCCTCCTCCTCCATCTTCCCTGATGTCCTCCTTCTCCATCTTCCCTGATGTCCTCCTCCTCCATCTTCCCTGATGTCCTCCTCCTCCATCCTCCCTGATGTCCTCCTCCTCCATCTTCCCTGATGTCCTCCTCCTCCATCTCCCCTGATGTTCTCCTCCATCTTCCCTGATGTTCTCCTCCTCCATCTTCCCTGATGTTCTCCTCCTCCATCCTCCCTGATGTCCTCCTCCTCCATCCTCCCTGATGTCCTCCTCCTCCATCTTCCCTGATGTCCTCCTCCTCCATCTTCCCTGATGTTCTCCTCCTCCATCTCCCCTGATGTTCTCCTCCTCCATCTCCCCTGATGTTCTCCTCCTCCATCTTCCCTGATGTCCTCCTCCTCCATCTTCTCTGATGTCCTCCTCCTCCGTCTTCCCTGATGTTCTCCTCCTCCATCTTCCCTGATGTTCTCCTCCTCCATCTCCCCTGATGTTCTCCTCCGTCTTCCCTGATGTTCTGCTCCTTCATCTTCCCTGATGTTCTCCTACATATTCCCTGATGTTTTCCTTTATGTCTTTACTGCTTTTTCTCTTACCCCTTTTATACCTCCTAAGACAAAATTTCTACACAAGAAAAAAATTACTTCACAACCACAAGTTACATATTTTCCAAAAACAAAATCTTTACACAGGAAGAAATCACATTATGATCACAAGTTACATGTACTGACAGGCAGTTGTTTGCAGTTTCAATGTAGCAGATTTCTATTCTATTTAAAAAGAAAAAATTAAACAAGTGGTCAGCTAACCATCTATGTTCTTTATACACAATAGAGTCATTTAATTTCCTTTCACAATTTTGTTTTTTCAAGGTGCATACCGGGGCCTATGATTAATTCTGTAAATTACATAACCAAGGAACTCAGGCCTAACCTTGGGTATAGGAACATAATTGCTTTCTTTGATCATCAGCCTGTTTTTCCACAGACAGAATTGATGGGTCTATAATGTATGAAACTCCCTTGTTCTTATTTTCCATAGTCTGCAAATCTCACATCTAACGAAGGGGAAGGTGACTTTTAGCCTTTTTTTTTTTTTCTCTTATTGAAGCAATTGGCAGAATAACCTAAACCATTTCCATAATCATCTTTACTATCTTAACCACCTGAATCTTTTAGGCTAACTCAGAAAATTCAATGAAATCATAGATCTAACTTGTCATCATTGCTCTTATAAAAGTCATCTTCATTACGAGCTGCAAGTAAATTGCCTGGTGAGGAGTATGGTTTTCCCAAGAAACAATCACACTGTACTAGATGCAGTGGGATCCTTTCCTATAGTAGTCACACCATGCCAAATTCAGCAGGAGTGCGGCCGCAGCAGAAGCAAGGGGCATGCTGGAGACTTCCCAGGGCGTCGCCTCTCCAGGGTGCACCCAGCGTAGCTTTGCTGTCCACTGGGCTGTACTCCATGAGCTCCATTGCTGACAGCAGCTCCTCTGACGTGGCCACCCATCGCCCTGTGAGAATCCCTCATTAAACAGGCTGGCCAGTTATTTGTGTAGAGGTAGGAGAACCATATGTGTTGAAATCATATAGCCCAGTGAGCTGAATTTAGAATGTATGCTAGTGAGTACCCAGACAGCCTGGCCCAAGGATGCATTTTTCAAAACATGTTCTGTGGTCAAGTGGCACATGGCAATAGTTTCCTCTTTCGTTCTTTTAGGTTAAGCCCCGCCCCCCAACATAGCCTGTGTGGGTTGGTTTCATTTTGATGATGTTTCCCCTTCCTCTTTATTCCCTCTTTTCCTCCCTCCCTGTTGACCCTCCCAGGGATCCCTTTCAGCAAAGGAGTCTCCTTGGGCACCAGGGTATGCCTTCTATGCACGTTGTCTTGCAACAACTTGTGTGACTCAGAACTGAGGTGGCTGATTACATCCCAACCAACTCACAATTTGGTTGCAGAAATTTCTGTGGTCTTATTGAGATAACCCTGTGTCTCATCGCGCTTTATGTTGTGTATTTTCCTTTTTTAAAAACTAAATATCTAACAATGTTTATTTTCTCAAAGACCAACCTACTCGTTCATGACTAGCAAAGATATTTTATTCTGGAAATAGTTTTAACCTACTCACAGCAACTAAATCCATGAAAGAGCATGTGCAAACCGGTGGAGGGTGGTGTCTGCTAGGCTCCTCCCACTCTGCTAGGCTCCTCCCACTCTGTCCCTGTCCTGGGTTCCTGGCTTGTCTTCATCCTCAACCTTAGAGAGACTGCTCATTTTGCATCCTAACAAAACTCGGTCTCTGCCTGCTTTTTCCACACAGTTGGTCAGTGCTGGTGAGGCAGAAATTTAGTGCAAGTTCATGTCTCTTCGAGCTTGCATGTCAAACTCTTCTACCTCCCTAGCAGCAGATAAAGCATAATTAAATGCTAGCTAGCTAATCCCGGACCTCGTGTACACAGGCGGATAACACTTGGGGGAGCAGTGGCTGCTGCTTGGTCATTAATAGCTCAGGGCCATGAAGTCAGGACTAACCAGTGTGGCAGTGTTGCCCAAGATCTCACTAATCCCATTGCATGGGGTCTTATACCATGGGGATGCTCTTTAGTCAGCAGACGAGACTGTCTTGAAGAACCACATGAGAAGTATTCACACTCGTGTATTTCTCAATACAGAGGTTCCCGTGGATGAGTGCACCAATTCAAGTCACGTTGGTTGGCTTTTGGTAAGTGTAAGTGAACCTTTAAAAAAATGTAGCTGCTATTATTATTGTGTGCATATATTCAATAGGTGTGTGTCATATGTTATCACAGTAGTCAACACAGAAATCACATTTATAGAAGCAATTTTTGATGCCTGTGGAAAGTTGGGTGATACAAGAGAAGTTTTGAAAATGATACCAACCCAGAATGCCTGGACTATGTGGCCCCAGTGATTAAAAAGATGGAAACTGTCACCACAGGAACCTCCAAATTTAGGGCTCTCTGGGTGTTCCATGTAAACTCCAGGTACCCACCCCTTTGTTCTTGGTGTTCTTGTTGATCAATCTGGCGATTGAAGAGACCATGTTTGTAAGGCAATCCTGTGCTCTAAAGGAAGGAAAGAGTTGCCACTAAAATACATAGAGAGAGAAGGAAGCCAAGGAGTGACACTAAAACCTACTGACCTGTCACTCTGCTTTGTTTTTAAGTTTGGTCTTCGCCACCCCACTGTGCTGTGCTCTATTTCCTCAGAAGAGGTAGGTGGTGCTTTGCTTTTCTCTTCTTTTCTTTTCTTTTCTTTTCTTTTTTTTCAGAATTATTGTGAATATCGATCCTAAAAATGAGCTGGAGACACAAATTCAGTTATTGGATTTCAGTAGTAAAATCGGGACCCTAAAGGGCCGGGAAATCCTCTTAAAAGGAAAGGACTAAGCAGGCAAGCTCAGAGTGGGACCTCAGGACTCACTCTACCCAGTTCTTTCCTGCTCCCTGCTGTTACATATGGGAATGCTTTAGCCTTTGTGAGAGTCAGGTTGCCTCGTGTACATTTTGCTTCTAGAACCTTTAACGTGGCTCCTTTCATTGGCGCCGCAGACAAGCACATCTGTGGCGTTCGTCCACTAGAATGGATTCCCTGACCACAGCTCTGCCCTTAGCTTGGGTAGCTGCTTACCGTCCCAGTGCTGCGGTCACATGGGTCTAGGCATGTCACTGCTGTGTGCTCTTACCAGCAATGAGACGGTTTCCACTTGAAATAACAGGTAAACAGGCTTAGCAATTGGCTTCTTACAGTTCTTTGTTGTGATGATTGTGTCTCCGGAGGGAACAGAATGATCATTTTGTGGCTGTGTCCATGTACCAGCCCTGGGTCTCTGAACCTGTGTCCTCTCCCTAAGTCCAGATTCCTAGCTTTGCCCTTGTGATAACCTGTTCCCTCTGCCTTGTCCCAGTTCCATGCCTGTGACAAGCTTGGAGGATGAGTTGCAAGCCAGCATCCAAAGGAGTCATCCTGAATTACGGCGCGTGTACTTTAACAAGGGCCTGTGAAGCCAGGATCAAGCCCTGGAGGTTCCTCCTGCGATCTGTGAACCTCCCGAAACCACAGCAGTGAGGAAATCCCATGTGATGGGGCATTCCCAGTTACAAAAGCCTCTAAAAGATCTGCATTAGAGTCAAGCTGCCCGTTGACACAGTACCCAGTGCCAGTCAGGAGCATGACGTTTGAATCATGTTGTAATTTACAAACATACCCTTCTGGTAGACTTTAATGACACCGTTTTTTCAAAGCCCTCACCTCGAGCTTTCAAAAGCACTGGTAGGCATAGCATAGGTGCTCCAGTTACCGGCCCAGTAAACATTGGTTGTCAGTCATTGGAAAGGTTACCCATTTCATTCCTACTTCTGTTCCACAGAGGCCTCAGCCATGAATTGGGAAAATACAAAAGGTCTGAGACTAAATATACAAGTGTAAATACTAAGGGAACTTTGTCTCCAGTTTGGCAGTGGACCAGTCCAAAATAGATGGTGACAAAAATTGAGGTTCAGAGGGTAAACACTCCGTCCACCTTCCTGAAGTCAGCCACAGAGCAGGGTGTGAACTGGCCCCTGTAGTTATCATGTGTTCACGGTTAACTTCTCTTGGTTAACTTTTCAGTTTGTCTAGTATTCTTATAAAATTATTAATCTGACCTCAAAGGTACTTTATAATCATGAATTTTCATCAAATAATTAACTGAAATGCACAATGCCAGCTTTAGGAGTATATTCAGTACCAGTGCAGTCTGGTTTGTTGGTTTTTTAGACGTGAAACTACAGTTCACAGTCCCTATGTGCCTTTTTTTTTTTTCTTTTTTTTTCGGTTTTTGGTTTTTGGGGTTTTTTTTGGCTTTCATGAAGATACAAAGATAATAAATGAACAAGTCAGCAACAGCGAATGTTGTGTTACATTCCACCCTTTTTGTTTGAAGACCATGAAATTACGTAGCACGTCTACATCTCCATAGTGATTTTACATGTTACATGTTCAGTGTAGCTGAGGTCATGTTGGAAGTATGTAGATGTTCCCTGTCATAGACAAGCCACTTGTTACACTGAGTGTAAATCATTGTAATTCAGAGATTTTGTAAGTGGGAAAAAAAATATTAGAAACTATCTAGTTTCTGCAGATCTTTTTCCTGATAATGTGTCCAGATTGAATTTCCTCATAAAGAAAAAATGGTGTGCCTTGTGTCTGTGTTTCTCTGTTCTCTAAAAGGATGTATGGATCTGAAGCTCTCATCCCCGCCCCCTCATGCTGCTGGAATCTTCTGTAGCGTTGAATGCCAAGCCACTTGAAATGCGATGGCTTCTTGTGACATTCTGGCCTTGGATGAGCCTCGTCGCCATCACTGCTTCTGTTTAAATGGTGGTGAGAGCCTGGAGTTCAGGGCTCCACAAGGTGCTTAGAGGACATTTCCATGCGAAGCTGCAGGCCTTGAGGTCCGCCCCACCCAGCTGGTCACTGAGCTGTTGCCCCAGTGCGTGTGGAGCTCTGAGAACGTGAAAACGCAGATGGGAGACGGACAAACTCCAAGTGTCAGCCCAGGTGTAGTGAGGAATGAGCAGTGGGTGTGGAGCTGGCTCTTTTAAATCTGTTTCTAGAAATTCGGGCCTCTTCATGCTTTTGTATAGGAATACTCACTGTGTGGTTTAATCGTGATTTATTTAAAAAAAAAAAAGACAAAAGAACAAATGAGTGAAAATTGGCAGTCTTTGCTGATCTTTTAAAAACATTTTTTCTGAAGACAAAGCCACATGAAGTGCAATAAGGTTGTAAGGTGACTAGTTAATATTTCTCTAATGTGAGCTAGAGTTGCGTGTGTGACTGGCTAGCAGCTATCAGTATTAGCGAGGTGTCTTGCCAACGTCAGAGCCAATGTGTCATTTCAGTTTAACTGATGAAATGTCAAATAAATACAGAATGAAAATAAACTTTGTCTTTTGTTCGTATGTGAAACATGCAGTTTGGGTGTTACAATCTGTGGTGCCTTCCGTCTGAGCCTCACCAGTAACTCCTAATGCCACGTTCTGTGTTCTTGCCGATCTTTTAACTACAATGTATTTCTGCCTGGGGTTGCTGGTCTTCCGCCCTCTTGAACCTCACAGGGGCAGTACCCCTGTATTCACAGCTGACATGCTCAGAGACCCCCCAAAGGAGACCTGAAACAGGTCCTTTTGAAGAACAGTGGTAAAATTTCATTGATGAGTTAGGCACAAGTTTTACGGTGATAACTAGCAATAAATCTAGATAAACTATAACAATACTAAGTTGTTTAAAACTCATGGAGTGTTTATTTTTGAAATTTTCCATGTAATCTTTTGGACTATGGTGGATAACATATGGTGGTTAAAAACAGGAAAAACAAAAGTATAAAGAGACTGCTATACACAGAGGCGCACACCCCCATACCCACCTCCCACACACACCCCTGACTAGTTTAAATCAGAAGTGTTGATTGTGAACTTGGAGGGGAAGTGAGTTTCTGCTTCAAACCACTTGGGATGCCCAGGGCAGTTTGCTCACTTGTCAGATTCTAGCACAGAACTGTTGTTTTTAAAGAGAAACATCCAGATTTGAGATTAAGAAGTGATTCATCAATGAACAATACAGAGCTGAGTACTTAAATATTTTTCTTTAAAATTTATTGTGGTGGTTTGAATAAGAATGATCCCCATAGGCTCCTATACTTGAGTGCTGAGTCATCAGGGAGTGGCACTACTTGAGAAGGATTAGGAGGTGTGGCCTTGCTGGAGGAAATGTGTCACTGGGGATGGACCTTGAGGTTTCAAATGCTCGAGTCAGGCCCAGTGTCTCTTTCTTCCTGCTGCCTGCTTATCCAAATGTAGAACTCTTAGCTACTTCTCCAGCACCATGTCTGCCTGTGTGCCGTCATGCTCCCTGCCATGATGATAATGGATTAAACCTCTGAAATTGTAAGCAAGCCCCAATTAAATGCTTTCTTTTGTAAGAGTTGCTGTAGTCATGGTGTCTCTTCACAGCAATAGAACATTGACTAAGACATTCATTTATTGTATGGGTACATGTACATATGTGTCTCTTGCTGTGGTGGCTGTGGACAAACTTGTGGAAGAAATTACTTCTCACCTTCCACCATGAGCCCTGAAGGTCAAACTTGGGTCATCAGCACTAACTACAAGCATCATTACCTACTGAGCCATCTCGACAATCCCAGAGCTGAGTGCTTTAAACTTCTTTGGTCGTCTTTCTGCATTGATTTTGCTCCTGTAGCTTTATTCTCACTTCATTTATTATACTCAAGAACATGGGTCTAAGAGTCAGGAAAGCTGGGCCCAGCCTTTGTGGTTCCCGTTTATAAAATGCATGCTTTTTGATTAGTGGCATTCTTTGCACGTGTTATCTTCCAATCACTATAAGAAATACCCGAGGCTAATCAGCTAGTAAAAAGAAAAGGGTTGCTTGGCTCGTAGACTTAGTAGTTCTGGTCTGTGGTTAGATGGGCTCACTGTTCTTAGGCCTCTGCTGGAGGTGTGGGCTCATAGTGTCAGGATAAGGCTGCTGAAGTGACCAGGAAATGCAGAGACAAAGAAGACTCCATAGTCCCTTTCAGTAGCATGTCCCCAATGACTTAAAGACCTCCCAACTAGACCATATATTTTATAGGTTCCACCACTTCCCAACAAAGTCACCTGACTTTGAACAGAGGGACCTTTGAGGAATGTACCAAATTCAAACTAACACTGTGAACTTGGGTGTGTGTGTCTGTGTGTGTGTGGTGTTTTGAATGTGGTGTTTGAATGTTGTCTGGAGAAAGTAATTGGTGCTACCTCTTATAGTAGCTACAAATATTAAAGTTAACCCCCATGCAGAAGTTATCATGGTTCCTGCCACATTGTTGACGTTGTTTAAGTGGTTTCTGAATGATAAAAAGGAAAGGAAAGGACATGACTGCTCCTAAGTATGGTGGAGGAGAAAGTTTATTATAAATATGTGGGAGAGTCCAGAGTGCACATGACCAGACTGAACTAGGCCTTGATGGGAGAGAGGGTGTTCAGTCGGAGCCTCTGGCTCACCCCTGCATGGTCCAGAAAGTTCTATTCCTGTCTGTCTCTCCAAACCCCACCAGGACACAGAGTCTCCAAACAAAAGAAAGGCACCAAAAAGCCCAGTTCCACATTCTTGGCTGCAGCTTCCTTGCTTAAATTTGCCAGCCACCCAAGTCCACACCTAAGTGCTCAGCTTTGACCATACTTGGGCACAAACCCAGCTTGTGGTGGACACATCATCACCCCTCACCTACAGTCTATAAACCTTTCCTGCCCTGGGCTGGGCATGCAACTTCTCTGGCTTCCATCTCTGGGACTGGAGAACCTGCCCGGGAGTTGCTTTGCTCAATATACCTGTTGTTATACTTTTTCAGTTCAGCTTGATCTGGCTTACTTATAATGGGGTTGTGGGGGGCAGAAAAAGGCCACATGGGAAGGCTGCTCTTCTCTTTCTTTCTTTCCACCAGACATAATCGGCTTTCGACCTGGGTTAAGTCCGTTTCCCAGCCACCACCTGAAGAGGTACCAGGTACCTCTTCCAGGCCCGGGGACCCCAGGAATCCCCTGCCAAGCCTTATCCGCGCCAGGACAAGCCCATTCCATTCTGGAGCAGAGACAGTCTCTTCTTGGGTTCAGAGACATCCTCCCATAGGCTCCCTTGCCCCTACTGCTCAACTCCAGGCTGTCCATCCTTAGTCTCACTCTAGTCTTTGGTCTCCAGCACGGGCTTGGAAATGGGCAGCGCCAGGTCCAAACCGGACGCTCAGTCACCCCTGGGATATCTGCTGCAAAAGTTATCCAATCTGGGGCCTGTCGCACACCATACACCCAAAATGCCTAATTTTCTTTTGTTCTGTACCCTAACCTCAGTACACTCCAGCTAAACAGTCTAAATGGCCACCGGGGGGCACTCTTGACTTTTACATCCTCCGTGATGGAGAGAAGTTTTGTCCGCCTATGGACAGATTGTCTGAGCTCCCTTACATCCAGGGTTTGGGGGTTCTGTGCTCACATCCCTCCTTCTGTAGCCAGTGCTCGACAGGGCAGGTCTTGTTGGCTAGGGTTGTGGTGCCTCAGGACGCCCTTTCATCTGGGGCCTTGGACTCTGTGCCCTCCACCCTGATGGAGACGCCTGAGTCACTGGCACTCCTGCTCTTCCCCCCCAACCCTGCCTGCCTCCTCCCTCCTACACAGCCACGTGCTCCACCTACTGGCCAGCCTTCACCCCTTTACTCACCCCTCCCCCGTTCTCTCCCTCCTTTCCCTCTCCCTTCCCGACAAAAGTCAAGGGCCAACTTCCTCCCCCTTCCATACTTCCTCTCCCTCTCTTCCTCTCCCTCCTCCTCCTGCCCCTTCCTTCTTTATCACCACAGGCCCTACTTCCCCCTCCCCCTTCTACAGTGCCACAACCCGCACCCTGGTCCCTGTGCACACACTGGCCTGCTCCCCCTGAATCCTCCCTCATGGCTTCTCATACATGGTCTCAGCAGACCCCTGCCCTACTCTGCCCCCTCCAAGGGGTGGCTGGAGCTGAGGGGATTGTTTGAGTCCAGGTCCCTTTCTCCCTTCGGGACCTCCCACAGATTGAAAGTGGTTAGGCTCCTTTACTGCTAATCCTTCTGCCTTTATCAGGATGTTCATTGGCTTTCCCAAGCCTGTGACCCGACCTGGCATGACCTTTATGTCATCCAGGCCTCCGCTCTCACTCCCTAGGAGTTGGGATGGGTTCCGGAGTGGCTAGACGGTATGCAGACCAGACTCACCTGGTGGACAGTATGGTCCCTGTGGGTGACAGGGCAGTGCCAGCTGTGGAACTCAACTGTGACTACCAGCCAGGTCAAAATGGCTACCAGGGGAGGGACCTCATGGTCCGCTGCCTCCTTCAGGATATGGAGACAGTCTTGAACACAGTGGTTATTTTTTTACAAGCTCCACGAGATTACATAGCCAGCTGATGAAAATCCAGCTATTTTTCTAAAATGATTACAAGAGACCATGAATCAGTACGATTCAACCCACCTTGACCCAGCCTTCCCAGCAGGAGCCTCGGCCCTGGCTACCCATTTTATTTCTCAGTTATCGCCAGATATTAGAAAGAAACTAAAAAAGACTGAGGATGGTCTCCACACAGGAACTGGTGAAAATGGCTTTTAAGGTTTTTAATGCCTGAGAGGAGGTGGCTGAGTCTCCCTGTCGTGCTCAGCTCCAACAGAAGGCTGTTTCCCAAGCTCAGGCCCTGGCAGCTGCACTGAGGCCAGCGGCCCTTCCACAGAGGCTCCATCCCACCAGGGCCCAACCAAAGTCAACTCACCAGGGACCTGCTTCAAATGTGGTTCCGAGGCTGCCTCAGTCCTCAGCCACCTATCAGGCCATGCCCTATCTGCCAGCAGTCTGGCCACTGGAAGTCCAAGTACCCCCATGTGGGCTCATCCTCTGTGCCATACCACGGAAGTTCAACCCCACCAAGGCAGGCATCTGAGACTCTTCCGACCTTTGAGCTCCTTAGCCTGGTGGAGGACTGGCAGTACCCAGACTCAGAGACTCCCATCACCCTTACTGAGCCAGCCTATGGTAAGGCTCCAGGTAGCAGGTACATCCATCACCTTCATGGTGGACATGGGAGGTACCTTTTCTGTCTTGATCTCTCACTCAGGCCCCATGGTTCCCTTGCTAATTTCTGTCACAGGGGGTGGATGGGACCCCCTCTTTTCCACCTAAGAACTGCCACTTTCCTGAATTCTTCTCACCCTCTTTGTTGATGGAAGCTCTCATAGACAGATCAGGAAACTGCCAGGCAGTTTATGCAGTGATCACCTTCACTAAAATGGGACAACATTAATCTGGGAACCGCTGAGAAGGTGTATTATCCCTGGAGATCTGGAGGAGGGGCCGTATTGACCATCAGATTGGTCCAAATCCAGCCTCTTCTGGAGGAGGATAGAGTTAGAGGTGATCTGCATGGTCTGTTTAACTCTGGAGCACATACTATGCTTTCCAAAGAGATGTGAGACTGAGAAGTGATTGGCATGTGTACTGACTGGTTTTCTGTCGACTTCACATAAACCAGAGTCATCAGGAGGGAGCCTCCGCTGAGGAAATGCCTCCATGGGATCTAGCTGTAAGGCATTTTCTCAATTAGTGATCAACAGGGGAGGGCCTACCATTACGGGTGGTGCATTCCCTGGGCTGGTGGATTCTATATTCTATATTCCCTGGATTCTATAAGAAAGTAGGCTGAGCAAGGCATGTGAAGCAAGCCAGTAAGCAGCACCCCTCCATGGCCTCTGCATCAGCTCCTGCCTCCAGGATCTTGCCCTGCTTGAGTTCCTGTCCTGATTTCTTTTGGTGGTGGACAGCAACATGGAAATGTAGGCCAAATAAATCCCTTTCTCCTCAACGTGTTTTTGGTCATGGTGCTTCATTGCAGCAATCGTAACCCCAACTAAGACAGCATGTCGAGTGCCACTGGGTCGCTGAGCCTCCATCTTGACCCCTATCTGCCAAACTTGAAGGTGCTCTGCACTGCCTTGACCTCCCCATCTGTATTATAATGCAACTGGCCATAGCACAGCACTCTACAGTCCCCACAGAAACTCCCCCCAAGGGTTCCCATGAGCATTGTCTCTATTAAATGTAAGAATCATCATAAGGAAGTGATAACGACCAAAAAAAAAATCATGAAGCAAGAAAAAAATTCCAAGGCTAGGGATACGGCTCAGTCAGTGAAGTCCCTACCATACAAGCATGAGATTCTGAGTCCTGATCCCAGAACCCACATAAAGAGCCAGTTGAGGAAGGCTGTGCCTATAACCCTAGTGCTGAGGAGGCAGCTAGGCAGGAATGTCCTTGAATCAAATTGGCTGACCAGCCTAGCTTAATCAGTGAGCTTTAAATTGGGTGAGAGACTCCGTCTCAAAGAATAAATGTGGAGAACAACCAAGGAAA